TCTCTATATTAGACACATTTAAAAAATAATATAATTTATATATATATAATTAAATGTTATTATATATATATATATGTAATATAATACATAGCGGCGGCATATTGCTATAATAAATATCTAAAATTAAAATGGCAAATTATCATCAATCAATAAATCAGGACAGGGTAAAAGATGGACAGGAGAGCGAGACACGAGCGTGAAACGGACAGGGAAATGCGAGAGGGAGCATCCTGCATTTCGGGACATTTCAAGAGTACTCGATGCATTGTCATTCGAGGTCTATCCTTGGTCCACCAAGCTAGGCGATTCGAAACAATCTCGCCATGATGACGTGCGTTGTTGCGCCAACTATACACTACAAGCGTTGCATTCATGTCGATTTATGTATAAACACGATCCTCGCACGAAACTCGCACATGTTAGTAGTTACACAGTAAAAAAAACATTTTGTATTTGTGCTAGAAATGATCCACTCAAGTCCTTGTTAAAAGTTTTGTGTTGAATTTTTAATGTATCTGAATGTTAATTTAATGTAATATGATAGTATTATTTGAATATTTTGTGTTAAATTGATATTCTCAACATTTCTTAGTGTTAAAATAATACAATTTATATAAGTGAACAAATAACATAAAAATAATTTTTAAATATGAGTTCTAAGATAAAATATGTTAATTTAACATATTTAAACATAATTTAACATATTCATAAATGTTAATTTTAACGAAACAATATAATCGCTTACAAATTGTGTCAGTGTTACGTTTTTGTAATATATTATGTTAATTTTTAACATAATATATTATGTTACTTTCTAACATATTCATTTTAAATTAACACAAAAATTTGAAAGGACCATTTGGAACACGTGAAATCTGTTAAATTCAACACAAATTTTCCAACTGTGTACATCTACATCTTTTCTCAACGAATAATAATCAACGAAAAATTCAACCTCAAATATCTTGGCACTTCATCGCTATGCGATAGCGTAATCCATAATTTGTATTATTTCGCGAGTTATCAGAATGATTTAAAAAAATCTGAAACGGAACTTGCAACTTTCGCGCGTAATCAGTCTGATTGGAAAGAGCCGCCGTTCTTTCAGAATGGTACGCAAATCCCAGAAGTCTCGGAATTCGGTCACAGTGCCTTCGCACCAGATCACCCGGTAGAACTCTATAGGCACGAGTAGACTATTACCTAACTCTCGCGTAGATGCGTATACAGAAAGCAAGATAGCCGGCCGATGAGGCCGCGGCTCGGGCGCGTATATACTCTGAGTCCGCAGTTACGTATCTAGAAGCCTGCCACCGCTACTGCCGCGCCGTTTGGTCTGGGACGGGTAGGTAGGTACCGTATTATATACGTAGTGAGGATCCCCCCCGCCGCAACATTACGCTGATTGCCTGAATTATCCGCAACCAGCCTGCCTATGCTCTCTGCTATGTACAAGTCTGTATATAGTCATTCGGCTCGGTATATATATATATATATATATATGCCTTTCGCATTTATATGTATCTGGATTCATATACATATGTATATATCTATATAATGCATATATATACTCTCTATGTATGTAGAAATACATATGTACGCGATTTGCTTCCCCTTGATGCGAATTATGCGTGCGACATACGTGCGACTCGTATGGGTGTGTGCATATGAGTGTGTGTTTGTATACACACACACACAAATTAATGAAAACCTCTTATTTTTTATGATAGGAAAAAATGTTTCAGGTAAAAACGGTTTCAAGTTAAATGGATCACTTTGTATATATAGGATGACTCAAAATATAGCAAGTTCTTAAAAAATTAAGTAAAAAAGTTATTTGTAAATTTTGATATGTAGTAATTTTTGAAATAATGATTTAAATATGGCCAATTACATTTAGATATTCACCTGTTCATGAGTCGCACGTGTATTAGTATTAGTGAGTGGTGCTGAGCTGATGGTGGTTCAGCATGTTCATTGATATTCACAGGTGACTATCTACACGTAATCTGTAATTGGCCATATTTAAATCCTTATATCTCAGAAACTATTGCTTAAAATAAAAATTTACAAATAATTTTTCTTGCTATAGTATTTTGAGTCGCGAATTTTGGGACACCCTGTACATAAATTATATACATATAATACATACTGTATATGGCGATGCACATATACACGTATAAATATAGGTACGAATCTCTATGAATGCGCGTGTAAGTATCGTCATGCTCATAGGATGGTTCACGAGGAGAAAATTGAAAACGGAGCTACACGTGAGCGCGGAAGACGATAGCGCGATATATTCATGAAGGTGGAATAATGAATCAAGACGAGGTATACGCAAATATCCCGCATCCTCGATACTGATGCGGCGTGGCATGCACGTTATCTGCCGTACCAGCATACTGCTACGAATCGATTGATTTATTTTTCAGCATAATGCGATGTGCCTATTTCAATCTCTGATATCTCCGAAAAGAAGCCAAATTTTAAACATGTTGAAGCTCTGACTTTCCTTTTTTATTTTTCGGTGCCATGGGTTTTTTTTATTCAGTACAATAAGACCGTTTGCTTTTTCTCACACAATTTAAGTTGCTATTAATCAATTAACAAAGAAAACTTTAAACTACACTATCGATTCAAGATGGATGTTAGTAAAAATACAGAATTCATAACTTACCGCAAGCAAAGAATAGCGTAAGGTGGATAGATGACTCCATGCTCAACGGCAGCCCTAGCCATGAATTTGTTTCGACCATAACGCGAACTTGCAACAGAATGACGAAGGGATGGAAGGGCAAGGAAGGATTAAGGACGCGTATCATACCATTTGATTAATGTACTTCACCCGTACATGTTCGTCAAGCGTCTTGAGCGATCCTGCCTACACACGGATAACTCGGACACGCGAGTCATTTGTTAGTTACACTAATACGGGACGAAGTAACGTATACATAGTAGCAACAAAATGTTATGAAGAAGCGATATAGCATACACGAGAATTCACGATAGCGAACGAGATAAAAATTTACTAGATTTATGGTGTTTTTCTTATAATAAATTGCACAACTTTTTGCTCAAAAAATTGATATTATCGAAATATGGATATATTATCCAAATACGGAAATTAGATATGTCTTTAAATATGCAATCAATATGGAATAACAATAATGAAAACATCTGAATAATACGTAGATAAAGGCAGACTTTAAATCGTATACTCTAAAAAATCCTATCGGTGTAGATTTGATACCATAAAGTGTTTATATAATTCTTACTGTATTAATATTAACACCAATACAGTGAGGAATATACATATAGATACCGCATGGTGTAAAATTCACACCAACATTTTTATAAGTGTACGACAAAAAACAGATTCTAATTTTTAAGATACAGGTTTAAAAGAGGAATTTTTATCATGTTAATGGTACAGAGTTCTGATCGATCTTTGCTCGCAACTAATCTAATAAATTAGAAGTACACATTTTTTACACATAATGTCTTATTTCATCATATGCACTTTGTCACATGCAAGAAGACATACGTCAGTAGTAAAAAAAATATAGATAAAAAATACTAATGTCCTTTCAAATTTTCGTCAATTATAATCATGGCTCGAAATGTACACAATCGTCATCGTCGTATATATTCAATGTACCTAAATTTTATCAGACGAACTGGACCTTACACCAAAGCAAATACTGATTACGCGATATAAACGATATGTACGTCAGTGTCAATTTCAACGATAAGTACGTTGAGTGAAAGAAGAGCTCTTATTCATGTTTTTGTGACTAAGCTCACATGTAACACTTTCTTAAAGTATTATAGATAAAATCATTTGTACGTTCGATATTCTCACACGAGAGGGATAGAGAAAAAAAGAAAGAAAGAGACCACTTATATTAATATATTTTACCTCTATAATCGGCAATAATTAACTTAAAATGTTCATAGATAACTTCGACATCAAAAATAATCATTACATAGAAATAATCGCGAAAGTATAGATTAACTATCTTAATTGTCAAATTCGCTCAAGCACAATGCATCTTAAACTACTTATATGATATCGCATTTTTTAAATTTATTTTTTATTTTGTTTTATGTGATATATGCCATAAATGCCAATTGTAAATCTTAATAATATCAAGATCAAAGAATCAAATGAAATATTTTACGCAAAACTTCAAAGTTTAGGTAATAAAAAGTTATATCAAATTCAAGATCTATGTATGCGTATAAATTGCATCTAATTAAATTAGAATGTAATATATTATCAAAGAAACTTATTTGAATTTTCTTGCTTAATATCATTATAATTAATTAGAATATTTTTACTTTACCATTATAATTAATTAGAATATTTTTACTTTATCATTATAATTAATTAAAATATTTTTACTTTATTTCTAAATGAAAATTCAAAAAATCGTTTAATCGAAAAAATAAATTATACACATCTTGAGTTTTCCTTAAACATAAAACTCTGTTAAATAGATAAAATATTTCAATGTTGTATAATTTCACCATTTTTACGACTTTAAACGTCCAACGATTAAAAATTCTGACATTAACATAGAAAGCTTTAATGATAAAACATTTTACGAGTTCTGATTGTTATCTAAAATTATATTCAAGGTTGACCTTGTGATGCCTTATTACTTACTACATATCTTTTATCAATAATAAATATAAATCACATTTGATTGAAATCAAATTACACGATAAGGACAGTGTGATATAAAGTTTAATTTAACCCAAGTTTTTTGTGTTAGTTCATAAATTATCGACTTATGATTGAGTTACAATTGCAAATTGTTCAATATTCGTAGCCTGAAAAAAACAAATGTACTCCGACGTAAAAATTTTTCTGTGAAATAATATGACTAATAATCTTTCCTTTCGAGGAAAGTATATCTTCGATAGATAAAATCTGTCCTTGTGTTTCGTGATAACGATGAATATTTATACCGCTTGAATTCGGCCAGTCACATATTTAAACGAATCGGAGAGGTGTTAATAAGACGAACGATACGTTTCTTAGTCCGGGTTAAGTAAAGAACAGGCGATGAAGGGTAAGTGTTAAAAATATTAAAAATCTTTTTATATAATAAAATCATCATTAAAATAAAATGATCGATACATATTGACACGCTATGTGTGTGTCGGAAATTTTTAACAATCCAAATTTATATAAATATCTGACGCATTCATTTGATTGTAATAAAAGTCACGATTAGTAAGTTAAATCGCGATTCGCCCGTATCCACGATTGATATTTTGACAATGTGATTTTTGTTCTGTATAGGAATATACGTCGCCATTGCTTTTAGCGTCGTGAACTCCGATCAGGATTTTTCGGAAGAAGTCTTCTTGGATGACATTCCTACAGAATGTCCATTACCACAACCAGGTTGGAGGAACACCACAACCAACGTCGCGCATGAATATAATTGCTCGTTGTTTTACAAGTGTAACGTGGGACAAGGTATCGAGCAAACATGTCCTTTGATGGTCGTCGGAGATCCATTGAAGAGATTGCATTACAATAGACACCTGCAGGTCTGTGATTGGCCGTGGCTGGCCGGTTGCATAAGTTGCCCAACAGAGTATCCAAACGGAACATTTCCGCCGCCGGAAAAAATAAATAATCCAAATAACAATTGCCAGTACATAACGTGCGCAAATGGTGTGCCATCCGGACCATTTAATTGTCCACCTGGTACATGCTTCAGTCGCAGATGTCAGGAATGCGTTGCGGACAGGTCTATAAATGCAAAATGTAACAACTACCAATGCAAAGAGGGCGACAGAAAAGTACATGATTGTGATTGCACTTTATATCAAGAATGTAAATATCTTAACGGACAATTTTATTATGTCTGGAAAACTTGCGAGGGTGGTTTACATTATAGCCCCACACAAAAAATATGCCTACCACCGAATATAGCTGGCTGTCCATACATCCCGCATTTTGGCAGAAAAAAATTGTTGTAATTATCACATAACCATAATTTATAATCATTTTCGGTGCCAACTATGTATTATTCACACAGTTGAACTACAAATATAATTATTATTAACACTACAGCAGTAATCATAAAATTGAAGCACATTTAATCATAATTATTTTATCATGAAATAGTTGCAAATACCACTTTTCTCTCAGTGTATCATAAAAACGACAAAAACTTGGCAAACTATTCAACGCTTATTCTGAAGAATAGATGATGTCACAAGTGCAATTGCAGATTACATATATAAATATAAAAGGAAGATCCTTTTTTAAAAGTTTTTCTTTATAAAGATATGACTTCTCCCTCGCTTCCTCTCTTGAAAAATATACAAATACCCAAATGTAAAAGTTATGGAGACATTTGTGCATCAATTTCAGAAAATAGCTGAAAGTAGTGACGAATATGAAGAACAAATTGCTTTACAAAATACTAAAATTGTTATTAATATTATTATTATATTTGTTTGAGTAGTTAGTTTCTTAAGATATTTTAATAAATCTGATAAAATGTATAACTGTTTCTTTGCAACTTCCCTGTCAGTTTAATCCTTCTATAAATACATACACATACACCACACTCATGTCCACACATATATATTCACATCGCTGTTTTGTCATTTCCAATTTAGATAAAAAAACTTATGATAAGAATAATCTTATTTGGTAATGTGTAGCACAAAATAAATCAAAAGATATCAATTATCGCTCGCATATTCAATCGTAATACCAGCAAATACAGATACTGAGCGTCACATCATCAGTGCGAATTGTAAAAAAATAAATAAATCAAAATTATTAATAAAAATTTCTTTGTACAATCTCTAGTCGCGAATGTTATCATTCAGTCTCCAAATGCACACTTATAGAAATACACAAAGTTTCAACGTGTGATAAGTATTTGCGTAAAATCATGAAAGACAAAATTAAAGAATAAAATTGTAAAAATTGTAAAATTGTAAAAAGCAGAATACTGGCGTCATTTCGATTCCGGTGACACAGTGACACGGAGCCTATCAGCCGAAACCCCTCCATTCGGCGGTCGTTCCTGATAAATAGAACGGTACCGGGAACAGTGTCGCGAGTCCCGACAATGGACCGCCGGAAGACCGGGGCAGCTTTAATTTCCCCCCGTAGTTCCTGGCAATTACCGCGCGGCGCGACCTGATAGCCATCTCTATCTCCGACCACAATGCCGTCAGTTCCGACGCACCCCGTTCCTTGCCACCTTGCCAGCGATTTACTTCCCTCTTCACCCACGGAACGTCGTCGACCTTCGACGATTTTTCTTGTCTCGACGTGATACACGAGCTGTCCGATGTCCCTACAATCGATTGGACGAACTCGCAAATTATTGATGAAAAGATCGAGAATCTAGATATATCCTCTAAAAATATCTCCTAGAATCAAGAAAGAATCTCGGAGGAAATTACATTCTGTATAATTTTTTATAGTATCCATTAGTCATCATATGACTGAAACTGTTCGTCTTGACTGAATAATATTATCATTATTAAAGATCATTAAAGTCATCATGCTATTATTAGAAATATCCATTGGAGATTGCAGTAGAAATTAAAAAAATTAATTTATAATTAATAGCGGTGAATCTGGAATAAACATTGAAATAAAAATTTTTGAATTATTTTCTCGAATGTCAAAGCTTCTTAGATTAAACTTTTTTCTTATTTGAAAGACGTCTGCTATAACATTCATGAATATTGCGCAATTAGTTTCTTCCGAAGCCGTAACTTATTTACACGAGAGAAACACAAGGGTGCACGTGCGAAGCGGTACGCCCGAAAGTCGAGTGTTTAACAAAACTCGGCGGCCAAACTCCTTCGAGAAGCTCGTAAATGGTGCGGGACGATTGGAACGCAACTGCTTAAGTTCGGTCACCGGAGAAAGAAGAAGAAGGAAAGGGTACGCGACAGCAGGTAAATCCCCTCGTCTCCTCTCTCTCTCCCTCTCTCATGGCAACATTATCGTGTTTTAATTTAACTTGCAGCTGCACTTTAATTAGACTTTGGCTGAATGAGGAGACGACGCTCGACGGGTAAAGCGAATAAGTACTGGCAAGTAAACGAGAGGCGAAGCGAGCGAACTTTATTCCTCATCCATTTCCCTGTCCCTTGGCGACCTCCTCTGCCTTCCTTCCCCCGTATATCTCCTCCATTCCCATCTGTATCTACGGTTAGACAGAAAATTCGAGTGATAAGGAAAGAGCGCAACGGAAAAGGAAGGTAATTGGCCAATGCCGACAATACGGCCAGCAATGTCGTTTCTACTTAATTTTTCTTCTCTTTGCGACTTCACTTTGTAGTAAGAAAGGTATTCCTTGAGGTGCATGTCTTCGACGTGAATATACAAGAAACTGGTATAATTTCTGAAAATATTTGAAAATTATTGCGTTTTCCCTTATACAGTTTTTTATTCTCCGACAAATAATCATGGTTTATTTTTTCTATCGCTTTGCACGAATTTTATCAACATAATTAACATTTGCAATTTCATTTGTATTTAAATATCTCGTTAATTAATCAAAATAATCAATATAGATTGTAGGCTATAATTTTTTTTCATCATACAAGTTACTAGATCGCGTTTTGCCGAATTCCAGGATTCATTGCCAGATCTCCCGCTTCGAACACCTCAAAAAACGCGTTTCCGACGCAGGGGCGTTTCCGCTCACAGCCATTCAACTGTCGATATTACTCCGCTTGCTCGCACGAGCGCGAGACGCCAGCTGCTTTCCACAGCCGTATACATTCTTCGCGGAGCTTGCAACGCGAAACGCAATAAATCTCCCGACTCTTCCTCTCGTAACGTTTCCCGTTGCTCGAAATAATGACATAGCGAAGCCATGGCTCGTGTAAGTCGGTTTTCAATGGCGCCCCTCATCTCGCGCGCGCCGGTGTCTCTTCGCACTTAATGAACGCCGAAACTGTCGCGAAGCCTTGCCCATACCTTAGCGGCGCCTTTTCCACCCCTCTATGCTACGTTGGCACGAGCTTCGCCAACAATCTCGACAATGGCGGGTTTTCGTACTCTGACGATCGACATCAAAGGCAATCGCGAAGTCCTATCACAACCCCGTGAACATTTAACCGAACGGATTAAACACACGATCAATTCGGCAGACGGAGTTCTCGGAACCACGTGCAACTTCGAAACGAATTGAGAGATCACGTTCGACAGTCAAATACATGAAAAATCTCGAGATAGATTAAATTATTAAAAATCAAACGACACGTTCTAGCCTGTTATCTTTCTGAAATAAATTGACGAAAGTGAATATTATTTTGAAATGATGCATAATATGCCATTATTTTCAATCATTCTTTTCAATGCTAAAGAACATTTTCCATTTCCCTTTCAATTTTATTTTTTTTTCTTTTTTCTTCATTTTTTGCAAAACTCTAATACTACTTCCGTCTTCCACTGAAGAACCTCTGTTTCAGGTCGAGAGCACTTATTCGGGCCATAACTCCTGTGCGTGTGTTCCCTCCTTTTTACCATCCCGCCCTCATAAATACATGACGACGAGGAAGAGGAACAGCAGATCTATGAGAAAGAAGGACGACAGCAGAGTATGGCAGAGCCGGGACGAAAACGGCGAAATCATGCTGCCGAAGGGATGAACGGCGGATGTAGAATCCGGGACTTTAAAACAAATATATCGCGCGTAAATCCAGCGTGGATGTACGCAAGTCTCCTGCCGGGGAGATCCCTGGATGTATCTCTCCCCAGACGAGAACGAAGGCGCGAAACGCCGCAAGGAAAGAGAGCGGAGCAAATCGCCGACGTTTTGCTTTACATATTTCCAGCGGAATTGTCATAGCCGAATTGTCATGGCGAGAGGGGAAAAAAATACAACCGTCAGACAATCACGGATACGAAAAATAACAAGGCAGACGCTTAAAATGTCATTCCTCTTCTTCTCTTTTCGCACAGAAATTTTGCAATGTAAATGTATATTTTTTTTTAATTTTTCTTGTAATCTTAGATTTATATATTTGGAACTGCATGAGCTATTTCGGAAAAAGAATTGGTCCTCGAGTGGAAACGTCCAGAGTTTCCCATCTGGACCAACTGAACCTCTAGCAGACCGAGCGTACATATCCCGTGGGCGAATACCAGGATTCATGAATACCGAAGTATTTGCCAAGCGCGTACCGATATGCGGAAGCGCGGACAATTTTACGTCCGCGTGTACTTGTACATACCTTCGTTTGCCACCGAAGCGCATATATACAGTATTCAAAAAATCACACACTTTGAAAAAAAATAAAAAAGACTTCTATGCTTCGAATAGTAATTTACAAATTTTAACACCAATGATCTCGAAAAAAATTTACTTGTTAATAAATTTCTCAAGTAGATGATTCCGAGATTACTTAATGTACAAAGTTGTTCCATATGACGATTCGAGCTGTTAAAGCTCGAAATCTTTAATAGCTTTCACAAAGGTCGAGAGCTATCTATCTCTCGGCACTGCAAACGTAATCGCCGTTCTTTCGAGGTTATATTCTGCCGATCGCGCTCTTCGCAGAAATTGCGTTTGAGTGTCTCCGATATACACACCCTGTATAGGCTACGTGGGCTCAGTACGCGTCGTGCATGTAGTCGGGCAAAGTCCCCGCGGGCTTAATACGGTATGCACGTCTGTCGTTCGCAAGCTCGACCCTATGCGGGCTCGAATCCGCTACCAAGCTAATATTCCACGAGAGGGCCCTGGGCTACGTGCTCGGACTCGGAAAACTCGGTAGACTCGTCGAGGTCCGCTCCCTGATATCAGAGCAGTCGATTCCGCTGCTACATCAGATCGGACAAAAGCGCAGGTAATTGCCGTCGGGCCGCGATAGATTTCGTCGACGGTTGAGTTGATATTATAAATATCCACAGGCGAGATAAGTCCATCAATTTACCGAATAATTACTTTAAACTTTAAGACGTAAGAAAGTCATCGTTGCATTTGCATCATCATCATTGCGATTTATTCTGATTTTTCTAAATCTAATTATTAAAATACAAAGTGATTTTTCAAATTGTCACCAATTTTTTAAAGGACAAGAGAAAGAGAGATAGAAGAAAAAATCTTCATCAAGAAAAACATATACAAGGTTATCTTGCGAGGCTTATTAACTTATCACAAATCTGTTATCGACAAGTTTTGATTGAAATCGAATTAAATTTAGGGCAGTGTTATAAAAGTTTAGTGTTTTTTTTCATCCAAATTTTTTGCGCTATCGTTCATAAACTATCTATCAACAATCGATGTTATTGGATCTAATTGCACAAAGAGTGTTCATTATTCATGGCCTAAAGCAAACAAATTCTAATGTAACAATTCTTCTATGAAATAATGCGATTATTAATATTTCTTTCGATAAAAGAATATATCTTCGATAAATATAATCTGTCCTTGTG